ACCCAGTGTTTCTCTGACACTTCCCGTCACCCCTCAACCCAACTGACCCACCCCAACAGTCCCCTCCAAACCCAACCAGCCTACTTAATATTCCCCTGTCCCCCAGCTGCACCCCCAAACCCAGCCAGTCCATCCCAACAGCCCCTCAATGTTTTCCTGAGTCCCCCAGCAACCCTAAAACCAACCAACCCACTCCAACAGCCCCCCTTTCCCAGGCAGCCCTAAACCAAACCCACCCACCTCAACAGCCCACCCAATGTTTCTCTGATGCTTCCAGCACCCCTAAACTCAACCAGCCCACCCCAAGAGTGCTCCTAACAGCCCCCTGCTCCCAGTCACCCTTAAATCCAATCAATTCACCCCAACAGCCAACCCAAAGTTTCCCCAACCCCCCTAAACCAAACCGGACCAGCCCAGCAGTCCACCCAACAGCCCCCTGCTCCTAAGCACCCATAAAACCAACCAGCAGACCTCCAAAGCCCACCCATTTCCCTTGTCCACCCAGCAACTCTAAACTCAACCAGCCCATCCCAACAGTCCCCCCAATGTTTTCTTGATCCCCAGCATCCTTAAACCCAACCAGTGAACCTCAAAAGCCCACCCAACATTTTCCTTTTCCCCTTGGCACCCCTAAAACCAACCAACCTACTCCAACAGCCCCCCATTCACAGGCAACCCTAAACCCAAGCCACCCACCTCAACAGACCACCCAATGTTTCCCAGATGCCTCCAGCACCCCTAAACCCAACCAGCCCACCCCAAGGGTGCTCCCAACTCCCAGCTCCTCCTGCTCCCAGTCACCCTTAAATCCAATCTATTCACCTCAACAGCTCACCCAAAATTTCCCCAACCCCCCTAAACCAAACTGGACCAGCCCAACAGTCCACTCAACGGCCCTCTGCTCCTAAGCACCCAAAAGCCCACCCAACGTTTCCCTTGCCCCCCCTCCAGCAACTCTAAACTCAACCAGCTCACCTCAACGGCTCCCCAGCATTTTATTGACCCCCCAGTACCCTTAAACCCAACCAGCCCACCCCAACAGCCCCCCATTCCCAGGCTCCCCTAAACCAGCTCATCTCAACAGCTTGCCCAACAGCTCCCCACCCCTACCAGGCACCCCAAACCCAACAACCCATCTGAACAGCCCACCCAAAGAGCCCCCACCCTCCCGGTATCCCTCAAACCCAACCAGCCCCCCAACATCCCCCTACTCCCAAGCTCCTGACCCCAACCAACCCATCTCAAGAGCCTTCACCAACACCACCTACTATCACCCCATCCTCCCAGGCACCCCCATGCAGCCCCCACCACCACCCCTGTGTCTGTCCCTGCAGCCCCCCAGCACTGTGGGTCCCTCCCAGTTCCTCCCAGCTGCCCCAGTGGTGCCCAAGGACTAGGGTGCACTGGATGTGGTGGGACTATTGGTGCCATCACTACCCTCCTGGCCCAGCCCAGGGCATGTCCTCCTGCACTGCAACACGCTTGGGGCATCGGGTGGTGGGTGGCAGGGTTGCGATGCCACCATGTCCCCTACC